GACTAAAATTAGACCTTTTCAAAAATTTTATGCTTAGATTAAAATATGATACGTTATTATATTAATGACAAGTTTAAAATAATCCAAATATTGAGAAATAAAATTATATCTCTAGTAAACAAATAAATACTTAGCATATATATTTTTTATAAATAAATATTTAGTTCTATATTATAATATAGGTAGACAAATCAAATAATTTTTTTTAAACGTTTTCATATAAAAACATTTCTCAACATATGTTTCTTTTAAAAAGTTAGAGTGATGGACTGGTTTTGAGGGCATTTTTGTAAACAAGCAATTCTTTTAGAAATTGTGCAATGCTTTAATACATCAAACCAAACAATGGATAAGAAATATGTCAGCATAACTAATACCAGCATAACTAATACAAGCATAACTGATACCAGCATTACTAATACACCCTATTCAGCATTATTTTTATGCACCCTACCAAACGATCCCTAAATGTCTTTTTCTTTTAGTTAGACTAAAGATCTATTTCTTCACATGGTAATAAAACTAGACCCCTCGATCCTTGTTCTTGTTTTTGGGAGCCCAAAAGTTCATTTCTCCACAAATAATATTAGTGCATATTTGATGCCTTAAGAAAATTATTATTAATTGGTGCACATTTCCTTGTGGCAATCTGAAATCACAGTCGAGAAAGATGTATACGAAAGTGCTATGATGGAGTTAAAACATAAAAATGAAGTATACGAGAGTGGATAACATTTGTTTTTTATATCTGTAACAGCCCAACCCCTTGATCTTAGTACTTGCATTTTATTTTGTGATCAATATTAAAGAATAATAAACATATCACGTTGTAATATGTTTTGTTTGAGCATGTTGTTTTAACAAAATTCTGACTACCACTTTATGTTTTAAGTCAAAGTCGAATAAGTCTTATCCTTCTCATTTTCACAAAATAATAATAATAATAATAATTTCTCTTTAATCTTTGCTTATAATAATTGCATTATTCATTGCTTAATATTGTTATATTATCATGTGATCATTTATTAGCTTACTAATTGACATAATAATGTGCTTATTATCCATCTGATAATTATATATAAATATAAATTTTTTATTCCTGAAGCTTAATGTAGTTTTATACTTTTATCCTCTTACTCAGAACTCTTTCGTCATTTAACTCTATCAATAATATTTATGAGTATTATTTAATATACTTATCCTTAATTCAAATTACATTCTCACGCTATCTTTATTTTTCTCTTTATATATTTTTACTCCTATTATAAAAATTTAATTAGTTTTATTCTATTAATATTTTACCAATAAACAAAATATGTAGTATCACATTTTACACTTACCATGTTTACAATGGATTTTAAATTTGTTATCGTGAGGTTTTTTTTTTTTTANGTGTTATCGTGGGTTGAAATCTAATTCTAAAGGGAGATGGACTGCCGCGGTCCCGGCGTAACCGCGGTCGGACCGCGGCAAGAAGTTGTTGCGGATTCAGAGAGGTCAATTGGCCGCGGTCCTGGCGTAACTGCGGTAGGACCGCGGCAGAAGGCGAAAAATTGAGGGACTGAAGTGCAAAACACGGAATTCTTAGCCCAAAACCCTATTTAAACAATAGAACTCGCCCAAGGGAGGCATGTAATGTTTTAGAGAGTACTTTGGCAAGGAAAACAAGTGTGAGAGATCACCCAAAACATCATTACTCTTATTCTTCTTTATTTTTCTTGCAATTTANCTATAGCTACCTTTTATATTTTATAGCAAAATAAGTATTTATGGTATATACTACCATTGAGGCATGAAATAAGGCATGAAATACGCTATTTATGTTTTTCCTCTCTCTTACACAGCTGGACATACCTATTTTTAAGGTGATTGTCGTTACTGTATTCATGAATACGCGTGAATACATGTGAATACATGCGCGTACAGCTGGACTGCCCTGATTTTAGGCACTTTTTACTGATGTATGAATACAACAACGCGAATACATGCGCGTACAGCTGGACTGCCCTGATTTTAGGCGCTTTTTGTTGTTGTATTCATGAATACATGGCGCGAATACATGTGAATTCATGCACGTACAGCTGGACTACCCTGATTTTAGGCACTTTTTACAGATGTATTCATGAATACAGCACTGCGAATACATGTGAATACATGCGCGTACAGCTGGAGTGCCCTGATTTTTAGGCGCTTTTTGTTGTTGTATTCATAAATACAGCAGCGCAAATACAGCAAATACACTACCGTAACAACTGAATAGTAGATATAAAAAGTAATTATGTATATGATAGCTATAGGGAGTTAATAGCCACTAAACAATAGTGGTTTCCGAAAATTCAATCTATTAAAAATAGTGTTAACTCTTAACTTTAGGAATGAACCATATAGATTCATGGGTTTCGTCCACAACCCAATTTTGGGATTTGAGTTGATTTATATGTTGGTTGACTTGACCATGTTTGACCAAGGATTGACTTTGACCAAAAACACAAATTTGGGCAATGATTTCCTTTTTATTGCATTGATATCATGGACTATCTGTTGGACTTTAAAGCATTGGGCTTCAAAGACTTTAAGCATTGGGTTTTAAAGTCTAATAGTGTGAATTGGAAATGATGGGAAATAAAATGGAGGGAAATGAAAATTTGAATGAAGTGAACTTTTGTCTTGAACTTTGTCCCTCATTGGTGAGGGACAACTACATTTGTGTGTATATATATAGAATCACTTCTTAAAGCTCTTAAAAGGAGTTGAAGAGCATGAACCCTCGCGCCGTCGTCGTCGCTCGCCTCGGCTTCGGCTTCGGATTTGTCAAATCGATCGATAAAATTATTTTTGGACAAAATTTATTTAATTAATTATTTAATAATTAATTAAATGTCAGTTAGTTAGCCGCTGTCCGGGCGTGACCGCGGTAGGACCGCGCCAGAACACTGCTGCAGATTCAGAAGGCCACTCTGGCTGCGGTCCTGGCGTAACCACGGTAGGACCGCGGCAGGACGCGCAAACTTCTGAACAGACACCTTTTCCAGAACAAACATCACACCTCTTCTAATAATTGCCTATGAATTCTGAGGCATGGCTTCGTTTTTAATACACTGAAAAAATTACAAAACCTTCCTTCTTTCTGAAAAAACTGCATTCTAATTTGCAGTCTCTCTCTCTCAAATTTGTAAGTGTGATTTTGCTCTGTTTTTTTGAGTTCGTTGGTATCCTGCAGTTTGTATTGCCACTGTTGCAGGAAGGTTTATTCCGTTTCATCCTGGGAGGATTTAATCCATTACCTTGGCAACGTGTGAGGGGGTTAAAATTCCTTAAGGACGCACAAGCAAATTGTGGACTCGGAATATTTCTTATTCTTTACTGTTTTCCAGTTTCTTTTATTCTTCTAACAGTCTTTTTTGATTTTGTGTTTTAACACAGTAGCGGATTACAAGCTTAAGGAATTTTAATACTAACGTTTCTGTGTTGAAATACATATTAAACTGTTATTTATATTTTGTATACTGGTTTGGAGACTAAAGTCTTCGTGCTTTCTACTCCAATAATTGTTCTATCCGATTTAAAGTATATCAAAACTTTACCGGAATAATAAACTTACGGGTTTGAAGTATATAAAAACTTCACCATTGTTACGTGTTGTATGTTTGGTTTGGTATTTCA